TTTATTCATCTTTTACAGTTTAAGATTCAGAATTTGTGGTTGATTTAAAGAATTCGATGAGCAAAAACGAAGACGTTGTTACAAAAATTAATAAAAAGTCATCGTCCAAACAACAAAAATTATTTACTTAAGAAACACAAGGAACAAACAAATATCAATTGCTATATTTTATATTATTCTATAAGTTCTTAACATCATCTAAATAAAAAATCAGACATTTAACATTGTCAGATTAAAGTATTATACTTAATAACATCAAATGCTATTTATATAACGTAATGGGTTTAACATCGTGTTAAACATATTATTAACAGATTTCAGTGTTTGTAATATTTGAAAAAAGAAATTTATGTTTAAAAACTATATGATAAACCGTTTTATCAGTTTTTTTTTTCCCATCTTTATGTATATCTAAATTTTAATGCGTTTATATAACTGCGTACCGCATGCTGAGCCATAGACAAGTACTGTATTTAGTATATTTATAACAGTCACATGTCTAATATANTTTACAATTGTTCCATTTTCATCTTTGATGCACTAGACTAAGAATAATAATTTGATAGGGACTTTGTTCATTTTTATATTTATCAAACTTTTTCCAGTTTCAGTTATAATACTGTTGTATTTTTATTTTAAATGTTCTATTTGATTAATAATTTAATCTTTGTATAAAATGTTCGCTTTTTAAACTGTTGTTTGATTTTAAATTGTGTCGTTTGTTATATAAACATAATCTATGATGTACTAATAATGTCTTTTTGACATTATATTTCGATTCGTTCAATAAATAACTGAAAATTTACATATATATTACTTTGGAAAATTATTTAGATATCAGAGATGACAATTAACAATATTTTTAATTTATTAAGATTAAAATTTTATCTGTTAAATTATATTTTCCACGTGGAATTCATGTAAATTTTCTTGAATCCTTATGAAAATAAAAAGCACTATTTGCTATTTTCTTGCCCGAGCAACGCCGGGTCTATTTGCTAGTTTATTATATAAGTATATTGAAATTCGTTTTCCATTTGTTGAATAGTCTCAAGAAGATGTATAAGTCGAAACGTAATGAATTTTGAATAAATACTAATAGTTCTAGTGCTATTGTGTCTTATGACAATATGAAATATAGAAAACCATTTATTTAGATATTCTTCATAATTCATTAATTAATATAGTACTGTATGTTCCCAATTATGCAAATCTGTATATTTTAAATTATCTTCGTTTTTATGCTTATTAGCGTTGTCCTATTCAAACTTGAATTCATATTTTCCAGGTTTTATCAAATCTTTAATGATTGTAGTTTCATTCCTTTTTACAATAATATTTATATTATTAGTTAATCTTAGATTGTTAATTCCTTTTATGCGAGACTTTCTGTTGTTTAAGATAACCAATTAAAACTTCTTCTGTTTTATTTATGATAAATTCTGCAAAATAGATAAACCAAGTCTCCCTATTAATTCCCTATTGAGGCAAGAAAAGGCATTCTGTTCACTACTGATTTTTACTACAAATATTGTTGAGTAACAAAGAAAATGATATTAATTACAGTTAATTGTATTGTGTTGTTTTCTATTCAAGGAATAAAAATACAATAACAAGATTAATTCGATGATGATGTAATATTTTTCATAATTTCTTTAGACTAAATCGAAAACATTCCGCATGCTAATGAAATTATCATATCTTATTTTTTCTATTCCAAATATATTCATTAACAGATAAATAAATAAAATAACAGTAAAAATAATAAAAACCAAGAATAAGCTGTTAAAATTGAATGAAACTTTTAGTGTGAATAATGACAATAATAATAAGTGATTACAATATCATAGCAACATTTTATGCAAATAGGCACCATATGCTAATCTGCAACAAACTGCCCACAGATGGTTTAATTGTCACTCCAGATTCCTCACACTCGTGGATGCTGACGATAGCGGGTGTCTATCTAGTCTTAAAAATATTTGATAGGCGACAAATCTGGAGACCGTGCAAGCCAACCAAGTGTAACAGTGGGACACTGACATCCCTCAGAAATCCTAGCTCCTGGAGGACGAGTATTACCTTACTAAAAAATTCCTATTTGCTTCTTTGCTATGAAAGGCAACACACGAAAGCGCAATTTTTCTTAAACATAATGCTGTGTCGTTACCGTCCCTCGCACCACTACTGAATGATTGTCTATCGTACGAGCTGGCCCTCAATACCAGCACGCAACATTTGGGTAATTTAGTACTTGAGAGTAAAGACGAGATTTAAGTGCTCATTACTGGTCCTCCACATCCTAACATAACATGTGGCAGAACACGGCGTTAAAATGTGATTCTAGTTCTGTTTGAAAACAACCGAAATTTACAATAGAAATTCATCACTAAAGACAATGTTGTTCAGTCCTTAGCAACCCATGTTTTTCTGTCACGGTACTACAGTACTTCAAACTAAAACGACGATTTTGGAGTGCTGATGGCAGAAAGTGGTCGCCGTTCATGTAAATTTGTCGCTGCTATTCGCCTGTCAATAGTAAGAGAAGCGTCAAAGTTCAAAGAGCGAGACTTTCTCATGTCTTTGCCCACTATCCATAGCGGGCAAAGACGCCGTTGCAGCTATTATTATTGTCTCATGATTAAACAATACTCTCTCGATGGTCTGTCAGTCTCCTCTGAGCCTGTTCATAATGAATGTGTACCATAACGTATCCATTGTCCCAATACCTGCTTGCCAATCAGGGCAGAATGACCAAATGATGGTAATTAGGCGAAACGGACATCCTGCTTTCCTCAGCCCGATGATACAGCCTTTCTCACAATTTGCCAGTTGTTTTGTACATGTGTTTGATTTTGTCATACAGGTATGCCTAGCCTTCGTGCTCCAGACATTAGGTACAGTACATGGAAAATTTTGTACACTATCCCATAAAAAGCTCTTCTAGCCTTTTATGCTGGGTACTAGATACCGGAGCAGCTATTTCAAGACACTCTGCAGACATTATCTAACACGCAGTCGGACCACTATAGTAATTATTTACATACTTGTATGAGAAATAGTTGTATGCCAAGTTTTGCAGTAATCATACAATTCTATCTGGGTATATAATACTATAATTGGTAAAAGTAATTAATTTATAAATTATGTTAGGAATACGTGGCCGATAGAGCATATATATTTATATTTGAAATCAATCAGTTTATCAGAAAAATAAGATAAAATGTCCTTTTCCACTTTATGTCGTAAAATTGTCAGTAGTAGCTTTCTCGAATAACTTTTCCAAGTTTATTATCCTGAAATTCCCGTTTTGATACTGAAATCAGAATCACTGTTCTTCAGTCCTTTAGCCACTACTGTTTTTCAGAAGTAATTCTGTATTTTTGTTAGACCATCAAATAGAAAAGTTTATTTTACAAAAGAAAAGTAACATATATATTTAAATTAGAAACTTCTGAAAACAGATGACGTTAAGACGTTTCTAATTGATTCTGGAGCTTTTTAAATTTTTTTAAAAGAAAGGATATAGTTCCCATTAACAATTATGCCTTTCTTAAATCCGATCCATATAAGTGCTCAATTAATTTCTCATTTTTCAAAAACTTTAATTTTACTTTTTACAATTGTTCCATTTTCATCTTTGATGCACTAGACTAAGAATAATAATTTGATAGGGACTTTGTTCATTTTTATATTTATCAAACTTTTTCCAGTTTCAGTTATAATACTGTTGTATTTTTATTTTAAATGTTCTATTTGATTAATAATTTAATCTTTGTATAAAATGTTCGCTTTTTAAACTGTTGTTTGATTTTAAATTGTGTCGTTTGTTATATAAACATAATCTATGATGTACTAATAATGTCTTTTTGACATTATATTTCGATTCGTTCAATAAATAACTGAAAATTTACATATATATTACTTTGGAAAATTATTTAGATATCAGAGATGACAATTAACAATATTTTTAATTTATTAAGATTAAAATTTTATCTGTTAAATTATATTTTCCACGTGGAATTCATGTAAATTTTCTTGAATCCTTATGAAAATAAAAAGCATTAACATTAGTTAATTTATTTTCTTTGCAAATTCGATTAGATTTAAACCTTTTTATTTTCTTTCATCGTATTCTACAGCGCAAAACAAAGCAGATAAGTTCTATCTACATTACGCCGAAGCCAATTTTTGGTATTCCAATCACTTTATTAAAAAAAATAATAATAAAAATTTCTGTACTTGAAAAATCTCATATATTTATTTGTAAAAATTCTCTTAACACTTGTTCATCGCATAAGTTGTATAAATCTAGATTATTGTAAGTTTCTCTATAATTCTTACCACTGTTATTCAACTTTATAAATTAAAATCCCTCAAATATTTCATAATATTCACGTGAGTAGGAAAATTTCTTGCTTCTTCTCCACTCGAACACGTTTTTGAATGAAGCAATAAATTTTTCTTATGCATCAATATTTGTCCAGATTGTGATCGTCTTATTTCGTATAATCGTAAAATGTTCCATTTATTATCGAAACAGTTATATCATGTTGTAATATTTTAAGTTTCCCATTTTTAAATAGAGTTCTCACGTTCCAGAATCGTCCTACGATAAATTTTTCACAAAATAGCCTTTGTTTGATAGACATGGATTTGACTTTTTATGGATGCGCTACTTCTTATCATTTCCAACAGTAGTGGGTGGAAATTTATAAACATAAAATGGATATTTATTTATTAAAATTAAATGTGATATTATAAAATTTGATATCGATAATGTATAAATAAAAGTATAAAAGGAATATAGAACCTATGACAAATTATATTTTTCGGCTTTCGTTTACTGAATGTCTTCAACTGATTCTTATACTATAAAGGTTTGACTATTAAATATGTGTCATGATTATTTAGACAATTTTATTTATTAGAAAATATAGATACGTAATACATCCAACAAATATAACTAATAAAAAGTATCATATTAAAAATAAACTTACCCCATCCAATTCCCAAGTAAACAGAAAATTTCACCATATCAACTGAAAATGTCTTTACAACGAGAATATAAAGATAGAGACCTTCAACAAACATCCAGAAAAAGTTAGTGCTCATCAAATATGTTAACATTATAATAAGTAAACAGGCTATCTGTAATAATAATTTCAGTATTTATACATTATCAAATGATTTATATTTATATAATTTTTTTATCAAAATTTAAAACTAACCTTTGTTGCCACAGGTGAAGATGAAGACTGTAACGTTGCTGTTATGATCCATGTAAGATCATTTAGAATATAAGTAATCATCAGATTTGTATGAATTGTATTTCTTAAGCATCTGAGATCTCTAAACCAATTAATATCAAGTTTAACTTTCTCATAAAAGTAAATTTATGTTTTGATAATTTATACATTAAACTGTAATGTATGAAACTTTTTTTCAATAAGATTTTATTACTTTTTGAATTATTTATTAATGTATGAAAAACT